CCCCCCCCCCCCCCCCCCCCCCCCCCCCCCCCCCCCCCCCCCCCCCCCCCCCCCCCCCCCCCCCCCCCCCCCCCCCCCCCCCCCCCCCCCCCCCCCCCCCCCCCCCCCCCCCCCCCCCCCTTAATAAGAAACAATCCGGTCTGAATATTCAAAAATTATTTATTCCTTTTCCTTATTAGGTTGAATGTTCTAAACAGAAATAAAGTTCTATAGAAATATAGAAGAAAAATATATGAGACGTGAGAAATTATGAATAACAAATATTGATCATTTACCATTATTAATAATAGCTCATGAAATCCAAAAAATTTGGTCTTACTTTATGTAACAATATTGTGATGCGTTTAAAAATACCTCTGATTAGCTCGGTTATATTACTTTTACATAACTCTTAAGACATAAACGATGCAGAATTAAGACTATCATGACCCGCAGAGAAGCCTAAAAGTCATGCTAGTCAAGAACCCCTCTTAAGAAATGATTCCGCTTGTTAATTGGCAAAAAAAGTACATTTTTATCTCATATTCAGCTCCGTTATTGACAGCCCTGTATCTCATAAAGCAGACTGTACCCTTTTCTAAAAATGGCTCTGCTTTTAAATGGCTTAAATGGCTCAGTTTTAAAAGTAATTTAAACGCGAACACTTCATTAATTCTTACTTTTTTTGCAATAAAGTTGCTAAGTCCTTGTCTTGCAACCAAGAGAATAATCTGGAAGAACTGAGAAGAGAGTAATTCGCAAATAGAAACAGAAAAAAGCTGACTGTTTTGTAGCTTGAAATCAATTCCCGAGATAAGTCAGACGCCAGAGCCTAGCGCAATACTCCACAATGGATGTAAAAAATGAAAAAACCGTAAGACGTAGCTGACTCGTGTATTTTTTATTTGTTATAACGATATTTAGTTACTTTTCAAACGAGATAATATAACTTTTTCTCTGTACCACTGCAATAATAGATTGACACGAGATCTTTCAGAGAACGGTACGAAACCTTTTCTGAACATTAAAAATATAGGGGATCTGTACTAAACCCATTCCGTATGGAATCTTAAAATAGTTTTGAAATGCTTGTAAAATTCGGAACCTTTTTTAGGTTCTGTAAAAAACACTGTTTTTAGAGTGTACCATGTCATTAGTTGTTATGAAAATCATCTTGTACTCGGAGAAGTCAATCAGTTAAAAGAATTTAGTCGAACCGTTTGCAGCTGCAAACAGGATCGCAAGAATGCATTAAGAAAATGGGTAATAATTACGATCAGTAGCAAAAAGTCACCTTGAACTTCTAAGTTAAATAAGTTTTAGTTTTTATTATCATCTTGCAGTTTGTCACCATAAACACTTAAAAATTTGCCATTACGTGATATGACACTTCTGCGAACTTGAGTTATATTTCAACCATTCCTGTTAAATGCAAAGGAGAAGGGCTTTCATAACATCTGTCGATGAGAGCGATGGGGAAGAGTACTAGACGTGAGAGTGAATCATCTGATAATATTTACTCAGAGGAACGCTTGTTTACACTAGGCGACGATCAGCTCAAAAACTGAATAAGCTCTCCAGTTTTACTATGACTGAATCAGGCTTCATTAAAATGTATCTTCTGATTCAAAGATCAAAATTCTGAGAAGCTCGGAATCTAATGACGGAATCAGAACTGAATTTTGTAAAAAAGATTATTTTCGAAATTTCAGAGCTAATTCCAGTCAAATGTTTCAGCTTTGAATCAGCTATTAGAAGAGAAAGCCTCATATGAATAAGGAAGGTTTCTAATTTTGAGAAAGTCTTAGAATAGTACGAAAATTAGATCAATTTTTTAAACTTTTCGCAAATCAGTGAGTCATGCTGTTATACGTTACAGAGAATTTGACTAAACCAAACAGAAGCATCAGCGATTCATCAAAATCGGAATGATCGTTATAGTCTAAGTATTTTTTAAAATTGATTATTCCAAATATTTAAGAACAGTAGTATCTTAATTGTATATATGTCGCAGTAGAAATTAAAATTCTACTAGTTGAAATTAAAATTTCATTTTCTACTAGGAGAAATTAAAATAAGCGGCGATTTTAAGTTGCACTAGTAGAAATTGAAATTTTAATCTCTACTATAGGAGAATTTTAAATTCTACTAGAAAGTTTAGATAACGGAAGTATTTTAATTTCTACTGTAGTAGAAATTAAAATACACGTTTAGACGGATGATGATATGTACAAGCACATCCATTATTTATTAGTAAAGGAGACAACAGCACAGGAAATTGTTGAATATATCAAAGAGTTTACATCTATTTATTTGAACAGTGTTTTTTTTTAGCAGGATGGCATTTGGTACCACGTGGTACTTTAGCTGCTTTGCATGAACATTTTTTTGTAGCACAACCACTAGTACAAGCACAAGCTTCTACAATTGGATTAACACCGCTACTAACGTAATCTTTACAAGCTTGAATAAATGTTTGTGTTGGTAATGTTTGAGAATCAATAGCACGTAATTCCGAAAACTTACATTTTGTTAAGTCTATGAGATCATTAACACCATATCTTGAGGATAGAACACATTTTGTTGTACAAAGACGATAGGTATGCATATTATCAGATGATGATTGTATTGAAATGACTTTACATGGTAAAATTTTCGGTGTTGTGTTAGTTCTATCAACTTTATCAATTTTTAGTAGTAGAGTACAGAATACTACCTCTTTCCACGTTTTATCGCGACCATGATGTCCTACTCTTTCATGATATTCTTTAATTGTCGTGTATAATTGTTCATATGTGTTCACCGGATTATATGATTTAATACCATAAACAACTTGTAATTCACCAATAGTAACTAATTTAAAATGCTTACGAACCCAGAATTTAAGCTGAGCTTCACCCCAACCATCTTTTAATACCAATATGATATCATTATAAATAGCTTGTGTGATAACAAATTTTGAACGAAATTTGTCGCTTAAAGATTCGATATGTTCATCAAGTTTCAAATAAAATAGCTCCATTTCATAGTATTTTATATTATCTTTTTTCTTTGATTGTATTATGAGAAGTTTAGGTTAAACATTAAAACTCTTTTTACTTTCTTTCTTTTCTTTCTACATATCATCCGTCTAAATGTGTATTTTAATTTCTACTACAGTAGAAATTAAAATACTTCCGTTATCTAAACTTTCTAGTAGAATTTAAAATTCTCCTATAGTAGAGATTAAAATTTCAATTTCTACTAGTGCAACTTAAAATCGCCTAAAAAATAATATACTACTATACTATATAATACTAAAAAATTAATTTCAACTAGTAGAATTTTAAATTCTACTGAATTTTAATTTCTACTGCAACATATACATCGATTTCGGTTATTAACGGCATCGGTTATAACCGAAAAAGTTTTATGTTGGGCCTACTTCCGATGGCTATTATTCTAGTTTTCAAAATTTGAATAAACTGAAAACAGAACTGCTGATTTCTGGAACAGATGAGAAAATAGCTTTAATTATCATCACTTTGAATTTCCAGCCAACGTGTGTTTTTCTCCTTTCTTCTATGGTGAAAGGGGAAAGAAACACTACCACTGAACTTATCTTTTTTCTTCCGTTACCGTATGACATATGCCTTGTTTTTCTTTCGTTACGTTACTATTGTTCTTCCAAACGAAATACTCATCAGTGAAACAAACAGTTATATTAAAAAGCACAACATAAAATGTTTTCGATTATAACCCACTCCAGGTCGATTATAATGCATCGGGGATGCATGTCTAATCTTGATTAGGAAGATATTGCTGTTAGTATCAAGCACATTCGCTGTGTCCTCAAGATCATATAGTTACTTGAGTCAGCCCTGAAAGGACTGATAATGATATTCAGTTCTGACTCAGTAAGCAGCAAAAGAGAAGAAGACAACGTTTTGGCAAAAGTAATTTTTAGGGCTTACTCCGACTCCGACTAACGAGGAACACTATTCTACTGTAACACTCCTTTTCACTCGCTCATACGTCGATTGATAGAGGATACCGAGATAGTAAAAAGCCTAAAAGGGGTCGTGCCAATGACTCTTGACGACCCGGTTTTCTGCAGAACCAATTTTTCAGAAACTCTACCAAATAATCAAAACCTTTTGTTATTGAGAGATGATTGTAGCGCGCAAATTTCTGATTAAAATGAGACACCTCCCGGCTCTGTACAACCTTCCTTTGCAAAGTTATGGAATTTACAAGAAAAGCCCTAAATGTTTATTGTTAGCTCAAAGCTATAGAAATCAGAAGAAATTAATTCAGGGCAGTTGTTGTAAATTCTATAACTTTGCAAAGGAAGGTCGTGTAGAGCTGAGAGATGCCTCATTTTAATCAGAAATTTGCGCGCTACAATCATCTCTCACTAACAAAAGGTTTTGAGTATTTATTAGAGCTTCTAAAAAACTGGTTTTGCAGAAAACCGGTCTTCAAGACTCATTGGCACGAACCCTTTTAGGCTTTTTACTATTCTGGTACCTTCTATCGAGCGACGTATGAACGATTGAAAAGGAGTGTTACAGTAGAATAGTGTTTCTCGTAAGCTCCGCTAAAACTGCATTGCTGATTCAGTTTTTCAGTTCCAGAATAATTAGAGATGGAGTATTTTCACCATATCTTTTATTTATAAGTTATATAAACACGTTCAGTATGTTTCTTACAGAGTTAACTGCCACATCGTTTAGAAAGACAGCTATGTTCCAGTGATAAAAAGCGGAAAAGGTCTTTAGGATCCCTTGAGACAGTCATTTCTTCTAATCCACCCGTTATACTAGTTCTACAGCGCATCATATGTAGTTATGGATGACACTTGAACTGGTGCTGAGGGTTTTATCGTTATCGATTTCACTGCCTGAAGTGGTGCTGATGGCTTCACTGTTGTCGATTTCACTGCCTGAAGTGGTGCTGATGGCTTCACCGTTGTCGATTTCACTGCCTGAGTTTTCCCAATTTTAGTACCGCTTGGCGACTGGGCGATAGGTTTGTGAATTTGTGCACTTGTTAACTCATCTCTCCTTCCTTGAAAATCTTTAACAATATATTTTTTAGCTTCCTGTCTTAACCATAATTTGTTTGTATGACGTTTTATAATTTTTCTTAAAATTATTCCGGTTAATATCACCCCAACAAACACTCCAATAATAGCAAATATTAATACAACGACTAACAGGAATGGACCACCATGTCCACCCCCACTGTCGCAATCAGGGCAATTCACAGGCACAAAATAACATCCGTAACAAGCACAATTAGGACAAGTAGTATTATCACTGCTACTTTCATTTCTCAACCACCCGCAGCAAGAACCAATTAGACCAAACAAACCTAAAAGGGCCAAACATAATATGAAACTGCTTAAATAGTAGACACCAAATGATTTCATCGAATCTGGATATAAATCTTTGATATGTTTCTCCTTTTTATCTATTAACTGTAATAAAAATGCTATTCCAACAATGATTAATTGAACTAGTAACATAATCACTGTTATATCACGAGTAACCAAGAAACGGTACAGTAATAATCTTTTTCTATCAGCTGTTGGATCATCTATAACTGGTTCAATAACATATTTAAATTGACAAACATTACAGAAACTAAAAGATTTTCCGTTTGTATTTAATGATCGCCAATTATCTAAACATTTTCTATGGACATAAGCTGAACTACCACTACATAAACATGGACTAATCAAATCATTTTCATTATCAGTCTCATAACATATTCTACATAGTTTTACAGCGATTTGTGGAAGTGTGATATTAGCTGCAGCCATGGAATATTGTATTAATATTTAACTGAAATATAAATATAAACATATATATACATATATATATATAATTTTGAAATGATTCAAAACTTTCATATAGCTATTTAGTATATTTTAGTTCTAGGTCAAGATTTTTGTTTTGATAAACGGAAGGTGATGATTACATTTTGATTCAAAAATGTGATAACAATTGCAACTGTTTTGAACTTCATACCTTTATTTGTTTAATATTTCGACCTTTAACATTTTCAAAAAAAATAAACAGAATAACTGTACATATAATGAATAGACATGGATCGTTATTAACTTTTATTATTAACTTATTAAATCGACCATCGGTCACAACCGAAACCGAAACATCGGTTATAACTGATGGCCCGTTTTGGGTTAATAACCGAAACCGATGCATGCCTAATGAGAACTGAGCACATTATAAAATTTCTTCGATTATAACCGAAACATCGATTAACCGCACTGATGCGCACATCTAATAATGAAAACAATTATTTTCTTTCTCTATCCTTACTACGAAATAAAAGTAGACGAAAATTTCAAGACTGAGACGATGCTTCATGGCCCGCTCAGTGCCGGTCCGTTCCGGTGTAAAAGTTTACATTGGCTAGTCTCTTCCCGTCTAAAAATGTTTTCAAAACCGGCCGTTCTTTTGCCGGTTTTTAACCAGTCTAGAGAATTTTTCAAAACCGGCAGGACTGTTGCCGGTTTTTTACCTATCTAGACCGATTTTTGAACCGGCCGACCCAGTCTGTTTCGCTGTTCTGGACCGATCGGCCTCTTATTTTTAGACCGGTTACAACTCTGCGATACTTTCTTTATATATGCGCATATATAAAAAAACTATTAAATCTAACAGAGCGATCAGTTCAAGGGGAAAAAGGAATTTTGGAATGGTACGGAATGGCCCATTCCGCTTTCTCCCCCCTTGGATCAGTTCCTCTTTATGTCTTTCCAGACGATACAGAGAAAAAGAAAACAATTGGAGATGAAAGACTCATATCACCAGGAAGAGTTAGTAAATAAAATACATTAACACCATCTTATAGATAATGTTGTCACTGGTTTTTTATATACGCATATGTTTTGTAAATTTTGATACTTTTAAATGGTAATTTTATTCCCACAAATTATGTTTGTCTAAACATTTCGATGCTTTGCATCTTCATCACTAGACACGATAAATTAAAAAGAGAATAAAAATTTTTTAAAAAACATCAAACACGAAAAAGAATCTTATCTAGAAAGTAGAACATAAACTATAATTCTTATAATACGTAAAAAATTAGGCTAAAACACATGGTAGAAGCCATCATTTTTTGATCACTTTTCCTAAATCTAAAGGTTCCTAAAAGTATCAAAGGTTACAAAATGCAACATAATCGTACTAATAGCTTATATCAATGCGCATATGTAAAGAAAGTATCATCCTAGTTTTGGAATTTTCTCTTTTCCGTTCTATTTTATTTCGTAGTAAGAATAGAGAAAGAAAGTAGTTGTTTTCATTAACAGGAATCTAGCAAATAAGGAGATATCTTTCTTCACACAACATATATTATATGTGGACATTGCCACACATTCGACATGGAAAGAGAGCACGTTAAACGAGAGGAAAGAGAACAGAAAGACAAACGTTTGACACATTTGTCTACGAATATCTTACATGTGCGAAGAAAGACTCTCCTTATTTGCTAGATGCCTATTATTATATTCATTATCTTCTGTTTATGTTTTTGAAAATGATCGGTAAAAGGTCGAAATATCAAACAAATAAAGGCATGAAGTTCAAAACAACTGCAATTTTTATCACATTTTTTACTCAAAAGTCGTTGCCCTCATACAGCGATTTTACATTTTGATAGTTTCAGAATTATTTCAACTCAATTTAGAAATGATGAAAATAACAGTAACAATCTGTATTATCCAACAGAGGCTATCATTTGGACATTTTTTTTGAGTTAAACTGAATTTTATTTGATGGATTCGAAGTAGTTATGTTCGAGCAATACTTCTTGGTTTAACGACCAAAGCAAATCTTTATCCAGATTTTAAAGCTGCTAAATGCGGTGACGATTTAGAACTTTGTCTTTACTATATTAAGAATAATGACACTAATGTTTGTGATACTAGCACACTACACATGAACTGTACCACTACTACTACAGTTAACAATCTTAAATAAATTTTCTCGATGAGATGAATGTGAGTTGATACATGCATTAATGTGCGGTGCTCTGAGAAGCTGACACTCATTTCAGCACACTTACAGATTAAGACAAATATCAGAAAGTTGAAAGTAACAAAGTCTCATAGCGCCGGTTGTGCATCGAACTCTATGTTAAAATTTATTACTTCTATCAGAGACGGTAGACCTGAACTCGGACCTATGAGTTGACAAGTCCAAACATGTAATAAAGCTTGGGAGATACTGATCTCTAGGTAGTTCACTCTAATTCTCAAAGACTAGCAAGTTAGAGATGGACCTGTACCTGAAAAATAGACCAATGACCTGTTACATGGACCTATCGCTTTCAGATCTGGATCTTGACCTGATTTGAGCCTGTGACTTCGACATGGATCTAAGATCCGAAGTGAACTTTTAGTCTAATATAAATAATTCGAAATAGGCTGACTATTTTGATGCTAATTATATTTTAGAAGAAGAGTGCTCAGCAAGAAGATTGTAATAAAGAAAACAGTACGTTTAATGAACTAAACTGAACTTCCAATACAGTCTTGGCTTTAGTTGTTACCATTCTATAGTTATTTGCAAAATAGTACGTAAAATGAATAAGGTGCGCATTAACCTAAATTGTTTGCATTAGACTTAAAAGTTCACTTCGGATCTCAGGTGCCGATCCATGTCGAAGTCACTAGTGGCGGAGCCAGAATTTCGCTCTAGGGGTAGCTGAGATCCATATTCATTGTTCGAAACCTGTCTACATTTGAACATAAATTAGTCGAATAAGTCGAGTTCTAACAGAAATGATGTTTTATTTGTTTACTTTTTCTTAAATGCTTCCAAGTCACTCTATTTTCGTGCTTCTTTTAAGTAAAATTTCTCATACTGCTGCTTCTTATCCGAGTAAATTTGACCCACTTGCCATTACATCCGCAGTAGGCATGCACCGGTATCGATATCCAAACCGAAATACCAAAACTGAAAATACTGAATTTTTTCATTTGAAATGAGATATTTTAGCGTCCTAGACAGCCGGAATACAAAAAACACTCAGTTGTGTATTCAAGCATGTGCAGATAGAAAATAAAGGAAAACTTTGGCTTTGGAAAGTAAACAAAGCTCTTGTTTTGTGTCTCTGATTCTTTCTGGGTGTACAGGAGGTTAAAATACCTCATTTCAAATAAAAAGTCGAAAAAATTCATTGTTTTCAGTATTGGTATATCGATACCGGTACATACCTATTCGATTGTGCGCTTTTAATGTGGATGATCTTCTGTTATGGCTTACGATAAACTTCTCCTCGGAGTGAATATAATCGCTCAACATTCATACTTATTTTTTTTCTCCACCTTCGAGTCTAAAAATTCGTAGTGGGCATAAGTTGAAAGAGAAGAAAAGTTGTCTCGTATTTTCTCTCTTCAG